ATATATATATATATATATATATATATATATATATATATATATATATATATACACACACCCTGTTTTTCACTGTAGGGTTGACTTCAGGAAAGAGTATATTTGTTCTCAGTGAAGAATGACACTCAAAAAGGTTTCCTCTTATTGCATTAGGCAGATTTTGAATTTCCACATAAAAACCACCATCTTAAGTTACTTCTACCACAATATTTGCAAATTGTCAACGCATTATAGGTCTCGCTAGGGAGTGAGCTATGTCTCACTCATCCCTCTATTCCCCCACCCCACAGCACTGCAGAGGACCTGTAAGCGTGGGTACACAGTACACGCTTCTTAAATTGTCAAAGCATATGTGGCCTAACCTTCAGTTCATCGAATCGAAGGGTGAAATGCAGAATTTCTGCAAACTCCTTTGCCAGGGCCTGCTCCCGCTCCAGGTGCTGGGTTGGCGTGTAGGGTGGACAGGTCAGAGATTCTAATAAACTCTGAAGAGCTTTTTCTGAAAGTCAGAGGGATAAGAACATATTTGAGGTGGCCCACAGAGATCCTTCAAAGGGCACAATTTTGCAGCCCCCATTGACATTCTCAGAAGTAACCTGCATGGGTCTTTCCCATAACTGTGCGAAAAGTGATGTGTGTGGTTGGACAAGAGAAGGAGCCCCACATATGAGCAGACCGCCCCCACTGCAGGAGCCCCCCATGGACCCACAGTTCTGTAAATGTCTCTCAAAGCTCAAGGGGACCCTCACCTGCTTGGTAGTCCCAATTCCTACCACAGTTGGAAAACCACAAATACATGTTTTTGGATCATGTGCATGAGATGGCCATTCATGACCCAGGATGAGATGAGGCGGCCCTGAACACAGGGGTTACATAACCTGCTTTGCAGGGAAAGACCTCAGGTCTCATTCCAGCTCTTCTCTGCATGTCACGCTAACCGAATTCCAGTAATATTTTCCCTACAAACCCATTGCCATATCTACCTCCATTATTGTCCTTGACATTATTCCTACTTGACATTCCTTCCAGTTTTTTCTTCAATATATTTCTAACAGCACCAAGTCATTAAATCACAGGGTTTGGCAAAATATGGGCCACAGGCCAAATCTGGGTCACTAAGGCTTTCAATAAAGCCTTATTGAAACATAGTCACGCTCATCCCTTGATGCATTGATTATGGCTCTTTTGGGCTACAACAGCAGTTCCAACAAAGACAGGATGGCCTATGAGCCTAAAATATTTACTGTCTGTCTCTTTATAGAAAAGTTGGCCAGCACCTGCTCAACAGTCTTTAAAATGTCTTTCATTGTCTCTTTACAAGGGCATTTCCAGCCTCTTTCATCTATGGGAATGCATTGTCTTCGAGGCAGCTAGTTCTAATGTGGTCACTCTGACGGGATCCTTTCCCTCCTGTTGAGCTGAAACATGGCTCCTTAGGGTTTCAGTTCATTGGGTCTAGATGTAGACTTTGAGGAAAGAGAGAAGTTGATCCCTCATCAACCTGAGAGTCTTCAGAAGCTCTCTCTTCCTGAAAAATGTTCACTTTTATTCAACTACTCCCTTTGGGTCTTAGCTTCAAGTTCTCCTGACATCATAGCTGTGATTCTCCCCAAGTATTTCAATCTCTCTGCTTTCCTCCTAAAATGTAGCATTTGTTTATGGCAAAAGTAGAGTAGAATATGACTACCCTCTTCCTCATTCTAGATATACTATATTAACTAGTGAAACCTCAGATAGCTTTACTTTGGGGACAGTGGTTACATCATATCAGTGGTTAAACTGAGCCTGTTGCCAAGCAGACTTGACTTTACTCTTGCTTCTACAAAGCCATGCTGTACCTGGACAGAATTTTGTTTTGTTTTGTTTGCTTTTGTTCTAAAGCAAACATCATGTTTGTTTTTCTTGTATTTTACTATATTAAATTTATCACATGACTCCAGCTAACCAAGTTCTTCTTGGGTTAGCAGATAACTTGTATCTTCCAGCTTCTCTACCACCTAGAAATGTATGACAAAACTGTTAAGAGCTGGCTTTCTCTGAGAACAAGACTAAAGAGACACCCAACAGTAGAGACACTCTAAATAGGCCAGGAACTTCAGGAGATGAGATGCTGAGGCGAATGGAAAGAAATGAAAATGACAGGAGTCGCTGTCTATAGTTTCTGATAAGACATAGTGGATGGATGGGAGACATTTCCTAAGGCACTGACATCTTCCTGCTACTTCCTCAAACATGATAACAGAACTTCACACATGGGACACAAAAACTATAAACACATACTCACCTAGCCTTATGGAAAACTCATAAAATCTCTTTAGCCTCACGACCAGAGGACACACCGCGTTCCAAGCTTTCTCTTGAAGCTGAATGTCATTGGGATTTTGAATTGCCTATAAAAAAAATCATAGAATGGTTTAAGAAGCAATAAGCTCCCTATCAAAATGACTTAAGATTGAGAAAGGATTTTGGTTTTAAAAAATACAATTCCTAGTGTACTTTGCTAATGTGTATTTCTTAAATTGACAGCAGCTCATTGGATAGTCCTCCAAGATGCTCAATTAGAATGGAGATTTTAGCACTTGAACATAATGCAAACGACTCTACAATTAGATCCTGTGTCAACTTACTTGTTTCCATTATCTTTAATGTAAAAAAAAATGCACATCTAATTGGAAGCAATTCAGCTCTCCTCCATCACCATTTATTCTTTTAAAGTAGAGCTCGAGCTCGNATTTATCATCACTCTTGTAACGGTCTTACCACTTCTACTCTTGGTTCTAAATCTTTTCTCAAATCTTTTCTCCAAAATATTTATGATAATACCCAGTCATTTTACCCAATCCTCTATTTGATTCTTATAAAATTTGTATAGCATCTTTGATTCAAGTTTTGGTCCTGCCATCTAATGAGCTACTGGATTCAATCTTTGGGAAGTCAGTTCACCAGTTTGGGCCTCAGCTGCTTCAGCTCTAAAATGGGGATAACTACACAACCATCACCCAGAGTTCTTTATGAAATTAATTCAGATAATATATGTGTAAATGTTAACGTGCTGACCCAATGGTTAGATATCATCATCATCATTATATCAACAGGCTCTGCCTAGCGAAACTCTTGACCATAAATACACCTCTGATGTAACTTACGGCGTCTCCAGCATGACTTTACAAACACTTGTCATCGTGCTGAGGCAGTCTGTGGTGTTCTCTATCGGCAGGGTTTTGTTCTAAGTGGGAGACACAAAAGGATGTTAGCCCTGCTAGAAGCTTTTATGTGCAATCAAGGAAAAAGCCCCCTGTTGCTCAACTTCACTCACTTCGGAGACAAAGTGCATTGTGGCATTGCTCAGGGTTTTCAGCATCGGTGTAGCTTCTGCGTAGAAGAGGGACATTCTGTTGGCCATCTCATTATTGACTTCATTCTCAATGTCTAGCTGATGAAAATAAGAAGAGAAGAGGCAATTGATCAACAGATGGTCAAAATCCCCAAACGATGTCCTCTGGAAATTGAATTAGAGACAAGGACTCCGTCTTATCCCTGTGCCTTGCCCGATGCAGAAATCCACGGCCATGAAGATTGGGCACCTAGACCCAGGAGCCCCAGGGACTCACGTGCATGTTGTTGATGTGATTGCGGCTTATTGTCCTTCTGTAGTAGCTGAAATCATTCTGAATCGCTGGGTTCCTCATCTGAAATCCAGAAGGGAAGAAAGAAGGTCATTGCTCAGCATCAGATGGGGAATAGCCATGAAGAACCCAGACACTAGATTTTGTAAATACACCAGGACTTCTTGCTGTTACACAAGAATCAAAGCAATTCCTGCTTAAACATAAAGACTCAGGGCTTCGTTATTTAAAAATATGCCCTGGGGCCGGCC